ATTTGAGGGGGTCCTAAAAAAAAAAAAAAAAAAAAAAGAAGAGCATACACTCAACGTCAGCCAATGCTTATTTATTAAAATCAGCTGGGGAAATGCAGAACAATGGAAAATCAATCAATAGCCTGACAGAATTCTTCATCTTCATATAACGTTAGCCAACATATTAAAACACAAGTCAAAAACAATAGGACATTTTTATCAAGGAATAGCATTAAAACGGCTTTTAAAAACATACTTCATCATGTAGGCTATATCATCTAAAAACAAAACGAACAAAAAGAAAGACAGGACCTGAGGCGATTAACAATTCCTGCACTTGAAAAAACACGCTCTGCAGGAACTGAAGTCGCAGGCACGCAGAGATAACGAAAAGCAAGCCAACAGAATTTCGGAAAGCGTCTGGACATCCCGCACTACCACCGAAGTGGGTCTTCGTTAGAGGAATAGACAGCGGCAGCGGGCTGTAGTGAATGACGTGATTGACATTAGCTGGCTTTGGCTAGTCTCTAAGCTAATGCCTACGTGCCTGTATTGAATATGATTACGCATCGCTCCAGTAGAGTTATTGTAACGTTAAGCCAATTTGACATTACACAGTTTACACAAAACTTTTCCGTTTCCTTCTAATTCAAAATAATCCCACACCTTACTCATCTTTCGCGTGGTCACTTTTGAGCTTGCCACAACTGACACGAAGAAAACTCATGCAAGGTCTGAGGTAAAAATGTAGTTTACGCCCAGATACACTTTTAAAAAGAATGTATTTTTTTTTTAATGTTTTATTTTAACTTGTTATTTAAAATGTTTTAAATGTAACAATGGTAATTTGATGGTAACATAAAATTATGGTAATTTGAATGATAAATATGTTTTTTTTTTTTCTTTTCTTTTTCTGTCATGTAATCGACTATTGTTTTCAGTGTCGACTAGGAGGAGCTGTACCGTTTAGTCGACTAGACAAAACACATGCATAACAGGTTTAGGACTGCTATGGACAGCTGAATCCCCAAGCTTTTGATATTCTTCATATTCTGTGCTGTCTTTATTTTGCCACAGTAACAGAAATTAACTTTTTAAATTTTTCCCTATTATGGGCATTTGTGACTTTTTAAGGCCAATTTTTTCCTAACCTAATTAAATGCATGCATTATCTTTTGTGTTGAATTCTTACTTTTAAATCAAAGTCAATTCAAATAGTAAGACACTATATACACACTTTACTTTAAAATATACTTTAACTTTAAAATTAAAAATGCCAGTAGGTGGCAGCAAGTGAGATATTGATTCACCTGATTCATTCAAATGGCTGATTCGTTCAGTAACAAAAACAGTTCTTCTGTGGTTTTGTTTGAAACTCTTTCATTGCTGAAATAGCAAAAATGGGAAGTGTTCTCTAAAATATAGGCCTAAGTTACTTTACATTAACTTCTTGTTTATTTAACTTGTATAAAATCAATACCACATTTGCAATCTTAGTGATATTTGGAGGGGAAAAAAACGGCACTCTTTGTGTGATTTTCAGAGTATGTTGAGCGGAGGTGGAACAATTTCCCCTCCGTGCTCCAAGTATTCAATAAACACTCAACTCCAGCTCCGCTCCGGGTTCACCATTTCCCGCTCGCCGCTCCACTCCTCGCTCACTGATATCAGAAACACCGCTCCGCCTTCATTGCCTGAGGAAATTTACGGCTGAAGTTTTTTAGTATGTTTTGAAATACCGCAGAACTTATTTTCATAACATATATTAACATAAAAAATTAATAAGATACTTGGAGAGTAGTTTAAAAGTGGCTTATTGGAACACTAGTGTGCGAACAATATTCCTACCACATGCCAAGCTTATTACATGGTTGTCAGCATTAAAAGGTATCATTGCTGCTTTTTGCAAATTTATTTTGTGAAGGATTAAAATAACTATGTTTTCGCCAGTTATTTTATCTACGGATCGCTGCATTATTTACAGATTTCTGCTCATTCAAAATCGGATACAGATGATGTAGCACTGTAAGATTAAATTTGTTTAAATGCATTATTGAGAGAGCGATTGCATGTGAGTAAGTGCTGTACCTGTTTTAATCATGCTTTCACCCGAAAATATTCTGGTGAATACAAATTCCTTGAGAACTACAACTTCCCGCACATGTCCGTTATCATAACCTTCACATTCTTTCTGATTTGAGTGATCCATCTGCCAAACAAAAACACTTGTCGGCCGATAATTTTAAAAAAAAGTCAATTATCAGCCAAAGCCAAAATATCAGTCGACCACTACATATAATCATATATCAACATTTGCTCAAACTAAGATAATTCGAAAGGCATTACATTACTGTGGAAGAAACACACATCCAATAGACCAAAAATATATATACTGTGTCCTGTCAGAGCTCCTTTTTAAATTGTTGGTCTCTGTTGCAGAATTGTAAAAGTGGCGGAAGCTTGCTGAGATATTCATGTAAAACAAAGGGTTACAAAGTCAACAGGTTTCTTGAATAAGTGTGAGAAAAGAGAGAGAGAGCACAAGCAGCCTTTTGTGCCCAAAGTGCTTCCTCTGTTGACATATGAAAAGTCAAGGGTCATAAGGGTCAGGACCTTTTTAACTTTAATTTAACCATCAATATCTTTCAGAGCATAGTCACGCACTGAAATTTCTGTGACATTCTCTCGCTTTGTTTTGTTAACTTCAAGTATGAGAATAGTAATAGTAAAGCTCTATGATTTTCATGATGCAGAAATTTCAAAATCTGTCATAAAAACATAGCTTGCTGCACATTTTGAATGAATGTATTCAAGCATTTCTTTATATTTATTTAAATATAAAGTCTGCATCAAAGCGAATAAGCTGTGGAGGTGATATAATTGATCACAACTGATTTGTATTCAATCATAAAATACAGAATCTAGAAAAATTAAAACAGACAACATAATTTGGGGAAAAACCTGATTCGGTATGGCCTTATTATTTCAATGACATTAAACTGTTAAAGTTTTACAATTTTGAAAAAATAAAACTCATTCTATACAGCCCAATAATAGTGATGCATGTATTAGCAAATGCCACTGAAAAATTTTACATATATTTTGTATATAATTATATTGTTTATATAAGTTTATAAAAGTTTATATTGACAAAATAGTCATTTACATCTACAAACAACCGTATCCCTCCCCCCACACTGAACTTCCCAGCAACCTTTCACACTTAAACTGGGAACAGATCCAACATCATGTCCAAAATATGTCTCAACAGTTCCGGTCTACCCTGCTGGCTTGCAAACTTAGGAGTCAAAGTTTAGATACAGTATACCTCTAAACATACAGGAAATGTCTCTCCTGTGCAAAAGAGGAAGGGGAATGTGTGAAAGAGAGAAATCCAGGCCTTCGGAGACTGACGATAGAGGAGGAAAAACACTTGTCCTGTGCGTGAAGTGAGTTAATGTGTGGTTGTAGCAAGGAACATGTGTCAATAAAATCTACAGACTAAAATCAGTTACAACTATTACTACTAAACAGTCTTTGATATGAAGGCTCGCAGTCTGACAAATCCAACTGCTAATTCAAGCAAGCAATCTGTCCTCACAACCACAGTGGCAAAGCATCCATGAAATGTCTGGCTCAATTGTGATCTTGATATGTGATTAGTCTGAGCCACCTGATCCTGATGATATGTTGTCATGCATAGTGTGCATGCATCTTTTACAATAAATCCTTATGCTAAAAAGAAACTTTTGGTCTTGATACAGTATGTTTCACTAGAATTTGTAAGCACTCCAAACAAATCAAGACCCCTCTATAATATATTTTAATATTTTTGTACTATGCATTACGGTATTATTATTTGGAAAATATGGTACTGCTAACAAGTATTACCAAAATGCAGGCATACTGAGCAATGCTAGTGGCAATGAGTGAAGCTTGTGCAATTTGAAGTAATGCATATGGTGTTACAGGGCTGTACACTTTAAGCCCAAGGGAACTATTGCCATGGCCCTTGGGCAGAGTCCATGATTTACAACTAAGAGTGGTTACACCCTTCAAGCTAATTTAAGAAAGAACATTACAAATTAATTGCCATGATCAGGCACAATAAATCAGCTACAAAACTGGCAACATTACGATAATGCAATTAAAGTGAACAAGAATGGATGCAACGTAATACTATATAAATGGCAAACAAATGCAAAAAACACCTGACTTCTGACAGCGTGTGAGAAATACATTGTTAGACATGATGCTCTCAAGTTATGCACTGTGAAGGTTTCATGTATTGTTAGGGTCAGGCTCTGGTATGGTCTGATGATATCTCAAGCTCTGACACATGTATAAAAGCATGGTGCGGTTTCACACCAACACAAATGCTGACATGAACCAGCACACACATGTACGCTCAAGCACGAGTCAGTCCTGAAATTCCCAGCTCTATTCCTCATACTGAAACCTAGCATGCGCTGCACAAGAGAATGAAAAACAGACTTACTCTGTACACATGAAAATGAGCAAGAAACGGAAATGATTTTTTGAGCTTGTCAAAACGACGCATATTGAGTTCTAAGAGAAAATCCACAAAAAGACAAGTTCAGCCTAATCGTCTGAGACTCTTTTGCTGGAGAACAGGGTTCGAGATTGAGAGACAACTCCAAAACTGTGAAGGTCTCCTCAGTTGGAAAGTCTCCTGAACTTGTACAGCCGACGTACTACATTCCATCGCGGGGCAATCCACATTAAGCTCCTTTAACCGAAGCTCAGCACTAGCATGATGAACTTGTATGTGGGGGACTGTGCAGGGCAAGGCAAGAAAACACTAGAGAGAGAGGTCTGCCAAAGGGAAATGTTCACTTGGCAGCCTAGTTAGAACATCCCAAAACAAAGTTCACACTGTGTGCTCTGAAGCAAATCACAAGAACTGTGAGGTGATGTCCTCCTTGTTGTATGTCTGAAAAAGATTTTGCAGAATGTGTTTGAGTCATTTTTCTCAGTTGTCCATTCCTCTATCCATCCGATCAGTCCACAGGCCAGCTATTAACAGAACAGTTTCTTCTATTCCCGATTTCCTTCGCTCAGATGACAGCCACAGTGGAAGTGATAAGAGAACCAGAAGAGCTGCAATGCCCAGACAAAGTTGTCCCTTAGTGCTTCTGTGGTCTGCTGAGCTAGAAATGGCACTTTTTTTTTTTTTTTTTTTTTGGTGTATAATACACTGCCATTCAAAAGTTTGGGATGTAAAAGTGCCTTTTTTTTTTTTTTTTTTGGTCAGTGCGTGCATGTTAGTGTCAGAGGGGCCGTGTTATTCTGGAGCAGGAGGAGCGTCTAGGACTCTCTCTCTCCCTACTGCGTGACTGTGTAATTCCTGCAACTCACAAACAGACGCTGGGGAAGTGCCCCTTTCTTTCTTTCCCTCCCTCCCTCTCTCCCTCTCTCTCTCTCCTCTCTCCGTCAGCCTGTGCCCGGGACAGAGACTCTATGGTATTCGGATGGAGGAGCATTTGATCATGAGCCAAAAGGTCAGATTTAACTGCAGGATGGAGAGCTCATTTCCTGTGTTCCTCCCATATGTTGGGCTCTTAACAAATCCCCTCCTGAACAGCACCATATCCCCCCTCCTATCTCTGGCTCTCACCACATCTTTCTTTTATATTCACTCTCTCTCTACCACTCTGCTCTAAACTCCCACATGACCTGACTTTTCTTCTTTATTTGGTTTGCAGCATTCTCCTTCTTCAATCCCTCAAAAAATTTTATCTCAACCTCTTGTAAACAAACGCATTCAAAATGTGTCCCCTCCCGCTTCCTCATTCTCCTCTGAACGAAAAGGGGACATTTTGGCTTCATCACCCCTAGCAGAATAAACCATGTTTTATTTACGTCCCTTCCCCTCCCTCATTCCCCACTGATTCATCAAGCCTACAGACTAAACCAGACGTGCTGCATTTTGAGCGATAAACAAAATGTACAATGTTGGTTGAGCCATGTGTTTTTATTTTTTCCCCCCAGAGCAAGAGGGAAGATGAGGTGAGCAGGGACAGAGGCAGTAAAGCAGGGCCCTGCGTGTCATGAACAGTCTGTCTCCAATTACTGCCCTGACACAAAGAATTTCCAACGCTGCTTCAGACCAAGCAGCTAATGCAGCAGGAATGTTCCTGAGACTTATCGAAAAAAGGAGCTTTATTTAAGAGAATGAAAAAAAATATGGTAATGCTAGCACAGCTGTGAATAAAGGAAAAATGCGGGTCCCTGTGACCGAGCTCAGATATTTGGCTGATCACTTAAACCAGCTGTGCATTGTAGACACTGTAGGTGTCGTAAGTGTCTGGATAATACATTTTAGGAGTTCTTTCCGTAGCACAGTCACCTTTGGCT